TTTAAGTGATGTTTTAATTGTCAAAATTAGCAAGTGAAATACTGTTGTCCCTCTTTGGATTCCATAAGGAACTGGGCCTCTTAGAAGCGGTTTTTCATAGGCATGTTACTTCTCTCATCTCTGTAGAATGGGAGACTGCACTGATTGCAAACCCTAAGAGAGGCAGGCGCTATGCAAAGTATTGGAGTGAATGCATGTGAAGTAATAACACATGCTGCTGCTAATAACTGCTATAGGAAACACTTTAAATATAGTCTTTCATATTTTTATCTACATCAAATATATTGAGTAATGATGTATGTCATATTGTGTTGGTGTAAGTTGCATATAAATGTGGCTATTTATTTTTTGTGGTCTATAAAACATAAGTTATGGTTATCTGCACAGTTGGGTAAGACTGGGGAATCAATTTTTGCATTGAATTGACACTACAATCCAGGCATAGCCCTTGAACATTCAACTGACATTCCAAGTTATTCAATTTTTGTAAAATTCACTTTTTAAATTGTTATCTTTCTCTTTATACTTTGACATAAATACTTTGGACTTTGGTTTTTAATTCATGCTCATGAAAACATGAAGAAATTACTGTAAAATAGTGATAAATATTCATTCTGGCTATGAATTGTTAGAGTCTAAAATATGGATATTTGATTTTAAGTTAGTTTCTCTCTCACAGAATGAATTAAAAATATTTAGATCTGCTTAGAGCCAAAACACAAAACAAAAGCAAACTATAAAGAATTAAGGACCAGCACCAGGCACACAGAATTCTTGTAGCCTCAGCATTCTTCAAATTCCCATGTGAGTCCAGATGTTTTAAAGCTAAATATATAACTCTCCTTGAATACTCCTTGAATAAAGAGCAAGTCTCAGCAAAATGACTGAAAAAAATCTTTAGTTGTGAACATTCTGAATACATGGGGCAGTGTCCCTACTTGCACTTACTTGTTAAAAAAAAAAGAAAGTAGGTTATTGTATTGTCCATTAAGAATGTTATCAGAAGGATTATAGATTTCCATTTCTCTTCGAGAATCATAAGGAAATAAAGCAAAGCATGTATGATGGTTTATTTTTCTAGGTTTCTCAAAGTCCAGGTTTATTGCATTTTAATAGCTATGACAATGGCATTAGGTAGTGAATAAAAAGATAGCCTTACATATATATATATATATTTTAACCTTAAACCTCCATCTATATAATAAAAGTAAGTATTTTTCTTGTGTGTATGTTATGAGTCTATCTGAATAGCATTCTTCAAAGAATGTGATTTCGTTTTTCCTTTTTCTTTCTCTGCCTTTGCCTTCTTTTTCCTGTTAGGCAGATTATAGAAGTGTAGCACATTTGACTTCATTAAATGTATTATAGGAAAGATATTAGTTTATTAAATGGTTGGTAGGAAAACTTTCAGATGAATGATTTCTATCTCAGATAGCCAACACCATGGGCTGCAGATTATTGTAATTTAGTGCTTCTTGACTAATGTAGATGTTTAATGAGCGCTGGGCATTGTGCTAAACACATACTTTAGCTCCTTTATCCCTTAGAAGACCTCAGTGAGGTAGGCATGTTATTACTTTCTTTTTCAGGTGAGGACAGAAAGGATCAATGATTTTACAAATAAGGCTACTCTAGCACGGAGAGGTTAAGTAACTTGCCTGAGATCACACAGCGAGCAAGCATTAGTGCCAGGACTTGAGTCAGTCTGGCTTAAGAAAACATATTCTTAACCACAACTCTGTACAGCTTCTCTGATGTTTAACTGGAACACAAAACAATATTCTATCTAATGTTCTCTCCAGATGGTTGACAGGCCATGCATTGGAACCCTGAAAATCTCAAACTTGGGTAGGAAAACATAAATTAAAACTGCAGTCTTATTGAAGGCCACACCTGCCATTAAAGTAAAATGAATATCAAATCCTAGATGTTCCAGCTGTGCCACTTAAAAAAAAAAGTAGTTCATATCAAGGAAAAAAAGTACCTTATTCAGGAAAGCTAAATTCCAGCTCCCTGGTCACCCATTATCATTCTGTTTTTACTGACCATTAGGTAACCCTTTCTTCTGTTGCAGAACAGCCATCCACATGTTTGCTATTAGGAAGAGCCAGTAATTAAAGATGTATGTTCAGAGCTGACTGTATTCTGCACATTCTTAAATTAATTTGTTTTTTTTTTTTCTTCCTTTTCTTTGTAAAACCCTGTTTGCTGACTTGGTGTTGAGGCTGGAGCTGACTGCCCTGGCCAGCAGTCCAGTCCAGATTCAGGAGCAATTGCAAAACTTCTGTCCCGGGTGGGTGGAAGCCATATGTTTTGGGGAGGTACTGGAGTGAATGAAATCCTTCCTACTCTTAAAACCCTCTTCCTCAGCCAAATCTGAAAGTGACATGAACTTGGCCTCACAGAAGTCCTGTCTTAGAAAGGTTGTGTCTTGCCCAAGTAGAAAATGCTTTGGTAGAGCTTCTAAAGCCTAAAATTCTGGAACGAAAACACTTGTGTAAACACATTGGCATTGTCAGTGAAAGTTAAAACAGAGAAGAGGATAAGCTACACCAAGGAAAATGGGCAAATTGTTATGAAGGTAACTCATAAATTTTACTAGATCTTTAACGATTTATTCTCCAGGGTGGTGGTCAGGAAGTTGGGTTTTGTTCACGATACCTTTAACAACCCCCACCTGCAAGCTCCCAGTCACAGAATGTCAGCAGTATCTCCCTGGCAAGGAGAAGCATTGACTATTCCACATGTCTGTGTGTGGGTGTGTGTGTGCTTTTGATCTTCCGGAGATGATTGTTTCCGGCTCACAGTCTTGCCTCTCTTTCTCTAGGTCTCACGGGGGTGTTGGGTCTTGGCATCGCAGCCCCCAATTTGGCCTTTTCCCAGATGGTGACCACTTTCGGTTTGGCTGGCATTGTGGGCTACCACACCGTCTGGGGAGTGACCCCCGCCCTCCACTCACCACTGATGTCTGTGACTAATGCGATCTCAGGTTCGTTCCTCTCTTGTTTTCCTTCATCTTAGGTTTTCGTGGGCTTATTCAACTCTAGGGGTGCTTTTAATGTGGTTTATCAAGTCCTTGTTTTCAAATTGTATGGTTTGGCATCTGAGGTTGTGGTGTGGGCACTCGGGCTCACAGGGGGTCCAGGGGTGAGGCTGCGAGTAAGAGGCCGATGGAGTGTGTCAGGCCTCTGGGCTGTTCCCATCACAAGCTGTGCAGAGCCACTGTTTGTTCTCTCAGTTGTGATTACCTTTAAAGAAAGGATTCCTCTGATAAAATTTGGAAACCAGCGTTTTCACAGAATCATACTTGTGACATCCTTTATGGACTTGCTTAGATTCAACTGAACATTCAGCCTAGCAAGTCTACAGTAGGCCACACCTGCCGTCAGGTTCACTGTGAGGTATGCTGAGCAGTAAGCACAGCTAGCCAGCAGGGTAGTAGCTGGTTTTTTTTTTTTTTTTGGTATGAATCCACACAGCAGTCCATGCAGCTGTCCACATGGCTGCCCAGAAGCTGTTCTCTTTTGCTTGCAGCAATGGTTCACATCTGAGGAATGAGATCCACCAGGTGTGGGAGCTAACATGGCTTGGAAACCTCATGGCCCCAGTGGGCATCTCTTATAACAATGCCATTGGCATAGCTTCCAGAATCTCTGCAGGGAACATGGTCAGTTCCAAGAGGTACTATACTCAGGAAAACTCAGAGCTATGGCTTCAGCATCGTAGGGTTATCATTCATGTGTAGTTCCTTCCAGTTCAGATGCAAATTCTCCACCAGAGGTCCCTTTTTACCCTAAGCAGTGTTGTCTAATAACATTATTGATTATATCATTATCAGGGGGACAGAGTTAGAAAATTAAAGGAAGACCAGGTTCTTACGCAGTTCTTTGCCCATGATAGTACTTGTGTGAGAATGGTGTATAAGAACTTTCTCCTTTGTGACTGCGCATGTGAGGTCCTTCAGCCATGACATTTGATCTGGCAGTGTCCCAGTGACGATTCACCATGTTGATGCTTTCTTCATAGGGCTGACTGCAGTTGGCGGACTGGCACTGATGGGAGGACATCTGTATCCTGCCACAGTCTCTCAGGGCCTGGCCACTCTTGCTACGTTCATATCCTCAGTCAACATTGCAGGTGCGTCGATGGTAGAAGAGCCCAGAGTGCTATGTTGAGTGGAGACAAGACGAGCAAGCACAGATCAATGGGAAATAGACATTCTGGTTTTAAGAATTGAATTCTGCCTTAAAAAAATGTTTCGCTCAGACCACAGATGCTCTCTGTGAAGGAAAATGAGTTATTTTGCCCATCTGTAATTTGTAGAAACTATTTGACAAAAGAATACTGCCTTCCCCAGTGTCCCAAAACAAACAAACAAAATGATGTCTTGCTACAAGCTGACTGGAAAGTTATTGAATGCATAGTTTTGAATTAAGTTGACTTAGAGCTATCACCATGACATCTCTAAGTGGGAATACTTTTAGATAAAATGTTAGCCTTTTGCCTTATCCCAGCCCGTGTTCCTGAAAACTGAAAGCCTAGCACATCACTTGTGTCCGAAACTCATTAGATGCTGTTTTGATGCTGAAAATTCTTTAATGGTTCCAGGACACTTGGTGCTTGCTGATATGGTGTTTTTTCTTTTATCCTTTGGTATAGGGTTTAACAAACAGAATAACCTATTAGAAAAAAAATACTGGCCTTTGATCTTTTGCATTCCCAAGCTGTTTGAATGGCTCTTTACTCTTAGTCATGCAGAAATAGTTGGTTCTGCACTCTGATTAGCAAGGTTTCTTCCAGAGTGTATTTAGGGTTTCCTCCCCTTTCAGTGGAACTGGCTGGAATAGAATAGCTTTTCATTTGGGGTTCTAATATGTTTCTTAAAATGACATTTATCCCTAGATGGTAAATATATGCTTAAAATAGAGAAATTGTAGAACTTTAAAGGATCGTGTTGCTCAGTGAGATATTGCTTTCTGTTTTACGTTTACTTTGATAAGGTGGCTTTCTGGTGACACAGAGAATGCTGGACATGTTCAAGCGTCCCACTGACCCCCCGGAATACAATTACCTGTATCTGCTCCCTGCTGGTACCTTTGTTGGGGGATATTTAGCTGCTCTCTACAGTGGTTATAACATTGAACAAGTAAGAGGCTTTTTTGCAAATTTTTATTTTTGCCATTGCATTTTCTTCCTGATTTGATTTAATATTATCATTACCAAAATGTAAACTCTTGTCAGGCAAATACAATGATAGCTTTAGAAATGCCTTGGTCAAATAGAGCATTCCCATTCTCTGAAGATCAGGACCCTGAATTTCTAGACAGATTTTGCCTGCTAACTGAAGGTGCAAACTTGGGTTTACCTGTTTGTCCTGAAGTTTTGCCACATGTAAAAAGAGTCGAGAAGATTCTTAGTATCTTCTTTATGTACCTGGCTGGGTTGTTGTAAGCATACAATGAAATTATCAGTAAGAAATTTGCATAGTTTCTTTTGTTAAATACTATTCAGTCTTTTTCCTACTTACTTTCTTACCCTACAAATCTAGTGTATTATTTCTTGTTGTCAGGAAATGTTGTATCAATTCGTTTAAAAAAGATAGTTTAAAAATGAATGCTCTATAGAAAAACAGAACTAATCAAGTTGAATTTTGGAAGTTTCATGTCTAAATATAATTATAATAAGAGACTTAACTATGTTGGGAACTCAGTATTTTCCTTTTATCTTCTATGACTATCATTAGATTGCAGCCTGACAGCAGAAAAAGCATGTCTTTCTTGATGTCTGCTTTTTCCAACATGTAATATTCGTTGAATGAACAAAATATTTTTTGAGAAGAGTTGAAGCAGTGAGTCAGAGAGACCAATATCTGAATCCATATTTACTATTTGCTGATCATTTGACTTTAGGAAAATTATGTAACCTCTTTAAGCTCTGGTTTTCTCTTCTGTTAAAATGAGAATTATGATTCTTTCCTCCTGTGAATCTCATGGGACTGACTTGCAACATAAGTGAATCATATGGCATGGTCCTTACAACATCAGGGCTTGGCTTGTTCATAGCATTTGGTTAGCTCTGGATCCCATAGTAATTCCTTTTGCACTTAGGTTCTTTTATATACCTTTTTTCATGCTCTCAGACTATTTGAAATGCTACAAATCTGAGTATCATGTGTTACTGTTTTTTTTTTGATTGTCCAGACTTAAGAAAATGATGGAGAATGTTAGTGATGCACTTTAAATTTTAGTGTGTTGTGTCTGTAAGCATTACATTTTGAATGTCAACAAAAATCAAGCACATATTCTTCCACTACTTGAAAACTATTATCAGTTTACATTAATGGTACAACTTAAGGTATTTAATATATTAATTCCTAATGATAGGAAAGTAATACTGAAATATTAAAAGCTGATATTGGTTCCTCTATTGTCTGAATTTAAAATTATCTTCAGAGAATTGTTTTTCCTCAAGAGAGATCCTCCATAAGCTGATAGGTGGAAGATTTTGACAGTGTCTCTCTCTTTCTCCCCCACTCCTTTCTCTGAAAAGCTCATGTACTTGGGCTCAGGTCTGTGCTGTGTGAGTGCCTTGGCTGGCCTTTCCACCCAGGGAACCGCTCGACTTGGCAATGCTTTGGGTATGATTGGAGTGGCCGGAGGCCTGGCAGCTACCCTTGGAGGCCTAAAACCATGCCCGGAATTGTTAGCTCAGATGTCTGGAGCAATGGCTTTGGGTGGTACCATTGGTAAGCACTTGTGAGATTTTGCCTTTATGTGAACCCATGCCCATTTTTTAGGCTACTCTTTTGACTCAGTTGATGTTCTTAGTCATTGAATGCTTGCACTTGACTGAAGATTATACCAATTGTGATGACTTTTCACCAAGGTAAAATATATTAGAAACAAGGTATTTATAACTTTATGCTACTGAGGCTATCCATATTTATTGTATCTGCATGGGAGAAGTGCCATGTCATGGTGGGCTGTTATACCTCTTTTCCAAACTCTGTATTTAGTGACATCAATTTTGCTACCTTGAAATTGGCCATGGTATTGCATTTATACCATGGAAATCAACAAATGCTACAAATCTGAGCATCATGTATTGCTGTTTTTTTTTGATTGTCCAGACTTAAGAAAATGATGAAGAATGTTAGTGATGCAGTTTAAATTTAAGTGTGTTGTGTCTGTGATTAACCATTACATTTTGAATGTCAACAAAAATTAAGTGCATATTCTTCCACTATTTGAAAATGATTATCATATTCATGAAGTTGTCATTCACATGGCTGACATGGTTTCTGTAATGTAGTAATTATCACATTTGCCTGACACATGGTTGACAATGAATGAGTGAAGTTCTCTGATAATCTTGTTTCACTTTGTCTTTCTTGTGGATGTAAACAAAAATACCCACCAGTATTCACATGGGAACTATACTCATCCATCACTTGCAAACACCAGGTAGGCTACAGATACATGATTTTGGCAAAAATCAACAAAAGCATTGTGTGAAAGTCAATTGGCTTTATGGAATTTATGGTCAAGAGTATTGTATAGTTTGTTATTATTTGAAATTGGGTGCTATACACCTTTTTATCAGTAAAGGCTCATGTCTGTATTTATATATACACGTTTTTATCCTGAGGAGCTAGTGGTGAAATATTTACCAGCACATTAGCTTTAGGTCTCCCTTTATGTCTTCCTGGAAAAGCATTGTGTCCTTTCTTGACAGTCCCTAGAAAGGAAAATGCTTGTGCTGTCCAGGGCAGGGAAGTCTTTAGACATGACCTTAGCAAATATTCTGAGCTGTATTCTCCTATCACCAGCCTGGAGCCATGCAGCTCCTTCAGAGTCTCCTAATTTGGACATTTATTATACAGGTATTTGCATTTCTTTACCTTAGGACGTGGGTCCCACCCACCCACTTAAAAACCTAGGCTTTCTTATTCTAACTGTTTCTTGTGTGCTTAGGAGCAAGTACTGGCTTACGGAGAAGGCAGTATGGGTTATTTGCACAAGGGTGAGAATTTAAGGGATTTAGTTGAAACTTCTTAATAATCTGAGGAAGTGTTGGGAAGTGTTTAAATGTGAAGGGAAGAGGCATATATTGATGCTCTGTGTTTGGGTTCTTTGGAATTGGTCCTTGGTTAGGTGTGTTGAGAAAGTCTGCCATTTGAAAGGGTGTTTATCACCAGTGTCTTTGTCTTCTGTATAGTCCCTATAAGAGAATATTTAACCCACACTAGGAAACAGATAAGTATTTGTTATGGAAATCCTTAAGTGCAGTCTTTTTTATTTTATTGAGGCATGACATATAACAATATATTAGTTTCAGATGTACAACATAATGATTCTGTATTTGTGTACACTGTGAAGTGATCACCACAGTGTCTACTTAACATCTGTCACCGTACATAGTTACAAAATCATTTTTTCTTGCAATGAGAACATTGAAGATTATTCTTTGAGCAATTCTCAAACATGCACTGTGGTCTTGTTAACTATAATCACCCTGCTGTATATTATATCCCCATGACTGATTTATTTTACAGCTGGAAGTATGTACTTTTGACCCCCCTTCACCAGTTTGTGCATGTCCCCTGCCCCCCACTGCCTCCCACTCCCAACCCAGCCTCTGGCAGCCTCCAGTCTGTTCTTTGTATCTGAGTTTGGTTGTTTTGTTTTTCTTGTTTTTAGATTTCACAAGTAAACCAGATCATAATGGTATTTGCTTTTGACTTGTTTGACTAATGCCATCAAGGTCCATCTGTGTCGTCACAAATGGCAAGATTTCCTTCTTTTATATACTTGAATAATATTCAGGTGTAGCCTTTACTGTGGCAACTTCTCAAAGGTCTGTCAAGTTTTAATTTCTTTTTGACCTTCATTTCCCCACAGGATTGACAATTGCCAAACGCATCCAGATTTCGGATTTACCTCAGTTAGTTGCTGCTTTCCACAGTTTAGTGGGCTTGGCGGCGGTGCTAACTTGCATAGCTGAGTACATCATAGAATATCCACATTTTGCTACAGATGCAGCAGCAAATCTCACTAAGATTGTGGCCTACCTCGGTACTTACATCGGTGGTGTCACGTTTAGTGGGTCTCTTGTTGCCTATGGAAAACTACAGGGTAAGCGATTCAACATTGTGCTGAGGTAAATATGTATTGGTAAGGGGGTTTAGAGGTTCATGTCAATTTCAAAACTAGCTTAACAGTAGAACATGTTAGATGAAGAGTCTGTTGCACTCAGAAATATGTAAAAGCCTCCCCCTGCAAAGACAAAAGATTGCTTTCTTTTATTGATCCTTAACAGGTCTCAAAGCTTTGAAGCTGTTTTTCTGCAGACAGCTTGTGGAGGAAACAGAAGTTTTTGCAGAGAGACTAGTTGATCTTTAAACATAATAACATTTCATATGTCATATAACATACACATGAACAAAATAACATCTTCAGCATCCTTTGGTGAGAGATGCCTGTGTAGAGTTCACAGAAATAAACTTGAATATATATTTTCCAGAATAAAGAGAAGCTTACTGAATAAGTTTGGTGATTAGTATGTAGTACTTATTTTGAAAACATACATATTTTAGGGCTCTACCATGACCCTTTTGCAATGGCTAAAACCAATCATGAAAATGGAAGTGGAGGAAAAAACAAACCAACCCACATAGACTGTTCCCAGTGTTTTCATGTAAAAGGGAATCTTTAGAGAAACTGGTTTGTGATTTACGTATCTGTACTTGCCTCTTAGTAATCAAATCATTAAAATTAAGGAGAGAACTTCCATGAAACATAAAAATGACAAAAGAACTTTGAGCCTAAACGTTCTTGTTTTATGCTCTTTGTCTTAGAAACAACTAGCAAACCAGGACTCTTCTCCCTTGGGCTTAGTTGATAGAATCAAAATATGCTAATGTGCTAGGACTGTTTTGAAGTTTTAAATAAATAAAACCACACTTAACAACTTCTGTGTTGGTCATATGGGGAAAAAAGTCATTTTTCAAGATTCCATGACAAAGAATAAAGAAAGTTTGAGTGATCAAAAGAAAGAACAGTTAAGTTGAGCCCTATTTTTCCTACTTCCCTTAATATTTGTTATGTGTAAGAACTCTAATTTGCTTTTATGTTTCAGTATCATGTTTTCATTCTGATACTAAATTTTGTTAGTTCAGGATTAAATGACACATACTGACGAGTGTGTGTGTGTGAGTGTTTCTTATGACACATTCTGGGTTCTGACTGCTTTGTGCTTGGTCCTAGGTATCCTGAAATCTGCCCCTCTTCTGCTGCCTGGAAGGCACTTACTCAATGCAGGCCTGCTGGCTGCTAGTGTGGGTGGAATAATCCCATTCATGATGGACCCCAGCTTTACCACCGGCATTACCTGTCTGGGCTCCGTGTCGGCTCTCTCCACTATCATGGTAAGAAGTCAGAGATGGAAAGCACATACTTAGCAAGGAACTGGGAGTATTGTGTAAGATTGCAGTCTAGTCAACTTTCTCTTTCTTTAAAATCTCTGATGGAATTAAATGTTTAAAAATGACATTACCCCTTTAGAATCTGGAAAATATGGGAAAGTGTAAGAAGAAAAAATGGTCTTTCTTTTCACTTAATTTATTCCTTTCACAGTTGTCACATGTGACATCTTTGCTGCTCTGGAGTCTTTTCAACGGGATCAGTGTGTCGGTGAACAGGAATTTCAAAAAGCCAAGTGTTTCAGTTGCATTCATTAGGTGTCTACTGTGTAGCAAGGCCCACAGAATAGAGCTTCGGTGTTTATGCAGTAAGTGTGAGGTAGTCCCTG